TCCATATTTTTGAAACCACAACAAAAGTGGTTTTACATTAGCTATAGATGAATAGGTAATGAGTCAGTGAACAGTTAAAAGCATTCCATGAGAATGCATAAACTAGCCATGTGAAGTTTTTGATCTTAAGTATTCAGACATTACTTAGAATAAGGGAAAACTATTCTTTGTTTAACAAGTGAACTATGTTTAATTTGTCTTATATGACTGTACCTACAAAGTTAAATGAAAGTTTACTCATGTGTTTTCTATTTCTCCTTTGCCATCAGTAGTTAACTTGCTTTTATGTGGAACACATATTTAGGGTATGGGAATTGCAGCAACAACTTTCAGATTTCTCACCATAACTTTTAACAAGGAAATGACATGTGTACTATATAAGAAGAAACTCCTGTAACTAAATTTTATTCTCCAGAGACAGAATTCCAAATTTCTGCAATACCACGGTATAAACCATTTAATTCCTCCAGATAAGTCAAATATGTACACTTCACCAATAATTACCCTTCTATATGAAAAATCAAAAGCCAAAATACTTATATTCCTACTGTTATAATTTTTAAATGATCAGTTCTCACAATTTTCCAAGTAATACATCTGTATAGCTTACTAGTTAAATAGTACCACAATATTTATTTTTAATAAAAACAAAAAGTTTCCCAGCAAGCTCCCAGGAGACAGACTTTAGATATTGTTTTTGTGGAAAGGACATCAAATAAAAGATACTCTCCAAACTCACTAGAAGGAATCTTGTCAGGCACCTAACCACAGATTGATACCTAATATTTCTGACACTTGCCTCTGCCTACAATGGTCATCAAAGTCCTCTAGGATGCGAAGTTGCCAACTTCAGAGGTAAACAGCTATACGAAGACATTGACAAGGCCTGTATATTGATATTGAACTCAGAAACTGTTTATCTTTACCTGTCTGCTAATAGTATTAGTTATAATAGTTATACTTGTTCTTTGGGTTTTTCTATAGAGCCCAACTGTTTATGATTACTGAACATAAATAAGATAACTTAATACTCCTTTTATGGCTTATGTAACTGTTACATTTGATGCCAAATACAAAAAAAAAGGAGACAGAAGGCAAAACTGGGATCATGACAGTTCACAGGATAGACATGCACAATCCAGAGTGTTTTTTCACAATGAAGGTCATAACACCTGACTTCCTTCTTTTTACTTGCCCTTCAGGTTTTGGGAAAATTCAGTCTCAACTCAAATGCCATGGTTGCAGTATGACCCCATCCCCAATGGTCATAAAATGCTGTCTATAATGAGACTCCCTACAAATGAGCCTTCCTGGCACTGTGAGACCATACAATCCTACCAAAATGTTAGTCATCAATGCATATTTCAAAGTGATTTATGATATATCCTCCCTTCCCCCAACTGGTGGGTGGAGTATGACGTAACCTGCAGCCCAGAAATACCTGAGTGACTAATCATGTACCTTATATGGACTATACACTGAACCACCAATCAATACCTGCCAAATACCCTAAGCCCTTGTTCCTATATGGACCATACATTAAGCCACCAATTAGCAGGCGCCAAGTACACTAAGCCCCCATTCCTTCCCATTTCTCCCCTCAAAAGGTGTGTTCACCTCTGCACAGTTTGCTATTCTCCTATTTCGAGACAGCCCGGCAGGTCTCTTTCCCCTAATAAAGCCTATAATCCTGGTTTTTGGCTCCCGACTGGTCTCTCATTCTGGTGCCGAAACTCGGGAGAGGTGAACGGGAGCGTGGACGATCCTCAGACCTAGCCCCGAGCTTCTCTGGCTCTGCTCGAAGGTAGGTTCTGAGTTGATTGGCCCGCCCTGGACCCTCTCTCGGACCCTGCTGAACCAGGACCCATGGGGATCTCTTCACCTCCCGCCTTCTGGTAGGCCTTCGGACCCAACTTACCCCCCCTCTTTTTTTTTCTCTCTCCCTGTGACCTGGAGGGGCATTAGGGTCTACAGAGTTTCCCGTCCACTCGGCTACTCCTTCTATGAAAGCCCAGGTGCCTGGCCGGGGAATTCTCTTCTACTCCATGGGAAAGGTGTCTCGGGGTGACGATCTCAGAACCTTTTCTCAGCCCCCTCTCTCTACAGGTTGGTTGAGGGAACAGGAGGATGCTCCTTGCTCCTTCCCCAACTTCCGATAGCTCTTCCCTCCAGTCATGGGGACTTCTCAATCCAAACCCCTCAAAACACACCCTCAGGGTATCTCCTTGCCAATCTTTCGACCCTTGGTCTTTCTGGCTACATCAAACCAAAGAAGCTCATTTTTTTTTCTGTAACATTGCCTGGCCACAATATAAACTCGACAATGGCCTTCAGTGGCCCAAAACCGGCACTTTCGATTTCAATATCCTTCGAGACCTAGATAATTTTTGCCACCAGACAGGGAGGCCTCAGGGATCCCTATGTACAGGCTTTCTTTCCCCTCCACTCCTGCCCCTCGCTTTACTCCTCATGTTCCACCCATCAGATCCTCCTCGCAAAGTCTCCTTCACCCTCTCAAACCGGTCCTCAGCCCTTCTCTGTCTTCTGACTCTTTCGACCCAGCTGATCATCCCTCTCCACCTCGCCAGCCCCCGCCACCTCCTTACAACCCCGCCATGAAACCTGAACCCCATGCTCTACCCTCTGAGAATTCTAACCACCTACCTTTCCCTGTGCGCTCTCCACCTAATCTCTGACCCTGTGATTGCCAGCAACCAAATTCACAGGTGGCTGGCCAGTTCCCTTTGCGCGAGGTTGTAAGGGGGAGGTTATTATTCGGGTAGCCATTCCCTTCTCACTCTCTGATCTTTCTCAAATCAAAAAACGCCTCGGCTCTTTCTCTTCAGACACTCTTAACCAGCAGCCGCCTTCTCCCCAGTCCCTGAGAGCCCAGATCTTGAGAACGTGAGCTCCAAAACAACCTTCCCCATCTAACACTCATTCTCAGGCCACCCAAAGACTGCCTTCCTCAACAGCCTCTTCTATTCCCGCGTCCATTCTACCCCTGAGGGAGGCAGCAGGAACTGAAGGCATGGTCTGAGTCCATGTCCCATTCTCTATGTCCAGCCTCACACAGATTAAGAGGCATCTCAGGTCTTTTTCCACTGACCTGACCACCTTTATTCCCCCGACATACGTCACAAACTTCAAAAAACAGATACAGGTCCACAAATCCCTCAAAAAGACCTTGTTAACCTGACCTTTAAGGTCTTTGATAATAGAGACTAGGAAACTGAAATCCAAAAAACAAAGGCGAGATCAGGCCAAAGCTGAGGCCCAGTAGGAGGCCTTCCAGCTCCTAGCCACCACTCTCATAAACCTCAAACGAAGTGCTGGTCCTCCAACTGCAGGTAAGTAAGGGGCTAAGCCTCCTCCGGGCCCATGCTTCAAATGCAACAAGGAAGGACACTGAGCCAAGTCCTGCTCAAACTCGAGACCCCCGCCTGGGCCCTGCCCAAGAAGCTCAGGTTTTCGAATTCCTTCTTACATGCCTGATCTCCTCACCATAATCCTCCTACAGTCAGCTAACAATGAATGCACCAATGAAGGTTTTTGGTCTTTTCAGGTGAAACGAACTTGGGATGATGAGGAAGTCATCAATTCTACTGTCTGGGATGGGAAATCCTCTAGTGTCACTCTCTATTTCGATGCTTGTGCAGCCATGGCCCCGGGGTGGTCTAGCTGCGGTGGTGGTATTGGAGCTATGCCACTGACCACAAATATCTATGTATGAAATACCACCAGAGAGGGGACTGTGACGATGTAGGGGAGTTCTATTGTCCATATTGGCATTGTTCTCACTACCACTCTGGTGCTTTACGTAGTCTGCTAGTAAACCTCAGACCCCCCTTGGACTGTGGCACCCTAACGTGTAATCCTGTCAGCTTTACCATATCAAACCCAGCAGACCCACTCTGGAACCAGGCTCAGCCAGCAGGAATTAGAATAGATGGGGAGTAGGGACCCCGGGGGTATAACTATCTTTATCAAAACCTATATTAACCCCCAACCTATCCCTCCCCCATTAAAGGACATTCTCTCTCGCCCTACGAACCCTGGGCCTACTCCTTTACCCACCCATTATCAACACGACCTTCCATCTACTCTCTAACATCAATCCTTCCTTCTCTACATCCTGCTGGATTTTTCTGTCACTGGCTCAAACCCTCATCATAGCCACTCCAATCCCAACCTATTGGACCACTAACTTACCTCTTACCTATACCAGACCTCAACGCACCCTATACAACATCTCTCTTTAATACGGAAAACACTACCTGTTTAACAAATACCTCTCAAACCACTACCTCAACTACTCCTACACCTTACTACTGTGCACAATCTATAAATTTACCCCCTCCCTTAGCCTGCCCTCCACCGGGTATTTTTCTCCTCTGTGGGACTACAGCCTACACCTGTGTTCCCCAAGACCTGTCACACTCACTCTGCCTTTATGTCTTCCTAACCACCAATCTTTCTATCAGAACAGAGGGAGAACTCGAATCCTCTCTTGGTCTTCTTAGACATCGCCACAAAAGGGAGGCCCTTGTTCCCCTCTTAGTGGGTATGGGAGTCCTCACTGCAGTAGGGACAGGAGTAGGAGGCATTTTCTCCTCTGTTCATTTCTACCACAAATTGTCTGAATTTTCAGAGTATATCTCCATCATTAGCAATTCCCTTGAATCCCTTCAAAGGCAGGTAGACTCCTTAGCAGCGGTAGCCCTACAGAACTGGCGTGTTTTAGATCTCTTGAGAGCAGAAAAAGGGGGTACTTGTGTCTTTCTTGGGGAAGAATGCTACTTTGTAAATGAATCAGGAATTGTCAAAGATCACTTTAAATCCCTCTGGGACAGGACTGACCAAAGACAATGTAACCAGCTAGAAGGGGGTTATGCCATTTTTGGCTCACTTACCCCATAGCTCCTCCCACTATTAGGCCCACTGGTATTTATTCTCTTAATTTTGCTCTTTAGCCCCTGTCTCATGTGCTGTTTCACTAGTTTTTTGCAGAACAGAATGCAGGCGTTCGCCAACGAGAAGGTGGGAGAGATCTATCTGGCCTTGGATTCAGAACGTAGAGACACCTATGTCACCAGAATCTTTGAGACCCCGGGTAGATGCCCCGACGACGTCCCCTCTCAGCAGGAAGTAGCTACAGAAGACGGACCTTCCCCCCCCTCACCTTGCCCGGACTCTCAATTTTTTTTCACTATTACCAAAAGCCTGGAATGATAGATCCTCCCTTCCCCCAACTGGTGGGTGGAGTATGACGTAACCTGCAGCCCAGAAATACCTGAGTGACTAACCATGTACCTTATATGAACTATACATTGAACCACCAATCAATACCTGCCAAATACCCTAAGCCCTTGTTCCTATATGGACCATACATTAAGCCACCAATCATCATGCGCCGAATACACTAAGCCCCCATTCCTTCCCATTTCTCCCCTCAAAAGGTGTGTTCACCTCTGCACAGTTTGCTGTTCTCCTATTGCGAGACAGCCCGGCAGGTCTCTTTCCCCTAATAAAGCCTGTAATCCTGGTTTTCGGCTCCTGACTGGTCTCTCAATTTATGATTACAAGTGGGGACTATTAACAAAAAAAGGGGGTTCTATGAAAAGTAACCTCACAGTGTAATCTGATCATAAATTCCTAACTGGGCAAGTCATGGCAGGCAGTCATGCCCCAGGCATATAATTTCTTTAGTAAAAGGTTTTATCTTTGTCTTACACAAACCCTGTCCCTAGCTTCTGTGCATCTAGGTTAACACACAGTTGAAATAAACTGTAACCAATCTCAAGAGAGCACATAATCTTGTTAACTATTTTGTAATAACCAGGGGTGGGAACATCCGGCCTGTAGGCCATATCAGGCCCAAGAAATCATTTGGTCTGGCCCTGACGAGGCATTAGGGGTGATTAATTAAATGTTTGACCAAATATAGCAGGCTAATTTTTAAGTTGATAATTTTGTATGGCCCGGGAATGATGTTATAAATAGCTAAGTGGCCCTTGGCAGAAAAAAAGGTTCCCCACCCCTGCATCCAATCCCCGATTTGCTTTTGCCCATCTTCACATAATTTTCCCTAAGTTCCCTCCTTAATTTAATTTTTTTAATTTAAATTCTTTATTGTTTAAAGTATTACATATGTCTCCTTTTTTTTCCCATTGACCTCTCTCCGGCCACTCCCACCCCTCAGCACATTCCCTTGCCCCCCTACTGTCTCCCTCCTTAATTTTAAATGTATATTTGCTCCCTGGCATGTCCTCAGTTTGGCCAACATAAACTCATAAAGACAAACAAAAAGACACACACAAAAAGCAGCCCATAACCTTTCTAGTATTTATCTCTTTCTCTCTAAATAATATGATTATATTCTTAGTTTTTAGCTCTTCTACCACCCACACTTCCTTTCTTTTCATCCTCCTAATGTTCAGTGAACTACTATATTTTTAATACATTTCCTTCCTTGAATAACAGTTTTCCTAGAGTTAATAATGCCACTTTTGTGCCCAACTCCCAAGTTATGCAACAGAAATGTGAAACCTCTCTGAATATATTTAACACTCTTTTTAAAATTTCATTTATTTTTTTTCAATTACAGTTTGCATTCAACATTATTTTGTATTAGTTTCAGGTGTACAGCATAGTGGTTAGACAAACATCTACTGTACAAAGTGCTCCCCCGATATTTTAGGTTCCCACCTGGCACCATACGGAGTTATTACAATAGTGTTGACTATATTCCCTGTGCTTTAAACAGTTGTCCCTGTAACTAGTTTATAACTATGAATCAGTACTTCCAATCCCTTCTATTTCATACTCTTAAGCATGAAGCATTCTATTAATTCCAACTCTTCCTTTTAAAAATATCTCTTTCTGGATTTTTCCATCTTCCTGCTCAACTGCACACTAATTACTCTTAGGATCAATGCACAGCTGCTGCCCAAGAACTTCCATTCCCCTCACCCTTACCTCATTCTCATCACTTATTTCCTAAAAACTGTTTTCCTTCTCCTATTACCCTCATTTGCATGTAAAAAGATTCCTGAGGAAGCAACCAGGGAAGGTACATTTAGAGAATCATGCATCTAAAAATGTCTTTTTTTCCTATCCTCACACCTGATTAATAATAGTTTGGCTAGGTATAGAACACAAGTTAAAAGTAAATTCCCTCAGAATTTTAGCCATGTCTTCTGGCTTTGGTTATTGCCATTAAGAGAGCAAATACCATGCTGTTTCTTGAGCAAATGTATATGTAAGGTTTATATTTTCTCTCTAGAAACTAGTATTATTTATTATCTCTATATTGCTGGCATTCTAAAATAGTCCAGTTATGTACTTGTCATAGATCTGCTTTATATATATTTTAATGTGCACCCAGAACTCATGTTCTTCAGTTCTGAAAATTTTTATAATATAATTTTATGATAACCTCTTCCCTATCATTTTCTTTGCTCTCCCCTCTTTTCTAGGACTTCTATTAATCATATTTTTTGTAGTTGTTAATCCTCACCCAAGGATATTTTCCATTAATTTTTAGAGAGAGTGAAAGGGAGGTGGAAAGACAAAGAGAGAAACATTGATGTGAGAGAGACACATTGATTGGTTGCCTCCTGCACACCCCAACCAAGGCCAGGGATTGAGCCTGCAACCTAGGTACATGCTCTTGACCAGAATGGAACCCGCTACTCTTCAGTCCACGTGCCAACACTCTATCCACAGAATTGTTAGACTGTTTGATTTTGTTTTTTTCTCACATTTTCCATTTATTTCACTTTTTGCTATATTTTTAGGAAAGATTCAATTCTTCTATTAAAAATATTTCATCTATTTTAAGAGTGCTTATTCTGATTATTCTTTTTTTATACCACCCTAACATGTTTCATAAAAGTGCTATCTTATCCTATCTCTGAGTATAATAGTTATATTTTACTTCACCTATTGTATTCCCTAGGAAGTACTCCTCCAGTTCTTTAGTCAGACCTGGCACATGACTGGGTTGCTTTCTCATTGGCACAATCCTCGCTAGGCATTTGTATGCAGCTTTCTCAGTTATACTGATTCCTCCATCCATCTTACATCTTCCAAAAATGGTATCTCTTTCATACGTTGCTTGTTGCTTCCTCTTCCTTGTGATTTCATATA